TGCAGCGTGCAAGCTCCAGCCTACCAGCAAAGGCCAGAACACATCTAGCTCCAACGTCGCGCTCGTGCCTGAGACAGACCCGCAATCAACGAGCGCAGAAGGAAAGCATGCCGAGTAGCCTCATGGATGGAAAGCGGGAAGTTTTCAAAAACCGCTCTCGCCCGATACCTCCTCGCATTTGATGGTCATGGCACAAGGGGCCTGGTTGTTCTCAAGGTCGCACGCAGTCGCGATGCACCTCAGGAGCTGAATGGCCAGCGGCTAGAGACCCGCTCCTTTTTCAAGTTCGTTCTACCGCTTCAAACGCCATCGGCATTTGATTCACCCTTCCAGGCATTGAGCGGGTGCAGGGCGATTCATGTTCAGAGTGTAGCATTTTGCGGGGTGATTCCCCACATGGTGTAGCAACCACACAGCTCAGAAGCCCGACAGCTGCGCGCTTGCAGGGTGCGTGGTGTGAGAATCGCGCCGTCGCCTCGGCGCCGCCACTACTCCTCTCTTCAGCATCTGCATCAGCTACGAGGGCCGTGGGCGGCTCACACTCAACCGCGCCATATGTAGCAGGGTGGAGGGGCCGAGGGATGCGAGCAGTGAGAGATAAGTTTCTGGGAACACGGAGAGGGGGGCGGGGTCACGACGCACGCGAGCTCCTGACCTGCCTCGCTTCAGCCAGAGACAGGGTTCCAGCAGAGACTGGCAAAAACCTTGCTCACTCAGCCAGTCCGTGAGAGTGCGATGCCACAGGCGAGGGGCATCGTTGAGTCCGTAAACGGATGCGATCAGCTCGATGAGCTGGTCTTGTCCAGAGGGAAAGTCCCTGGCAGACCTCTGCAAACATCGCACCTTTCGGTCGCACTAATTTGATCGACTGGCAAAAAAGTATCCTTTGCGTCCGCGATACTTAGAGCCCACTTCCTGGAACTCACATTCTGCAAAGTCAGCATGATGCTCGGAGATTGGGGGGTAGGCGCGTAAACCTGAAGAGTTTCTCCGTCCAGATCCTGGCGACCTCTGACGCACCACCTGGACTTGGGGGTGGGGTCCACCTTCTTCGCCGCCTTCAGCCTCCGAGATTATTGCCATGTGCGTCGTTTCTCTGTCCCCCCCCAACTTGTCCGCGATCACCGCGGCGAAGACGAGAGTCAGGTCATTATCATCCATATGTTGCTCCTCGACTGCCGCAAGAAAGGCGATGGCGTGCTCCTCTGGAAGATCTATGGTGCCGCCACAGTCCCCGTGCTCGCCACGCTGATCCGAGGGGATCGGCGCGTCACCGCCGCTGCCTGAGGATACGTCGGCGGCGAAGGTCTTGACGGCTGGGGGGGGGAGCACTCGGGAGTGTCCTCTTGTCTGTCGCGTCCAGCATCAGGATAGCCTGTCGCACCGAGATCGAGTCCGTCTTGCCCTGGGCCAGTGTCTTCATGTTGATCTTGCTGTGAGGAGTGGGATTCGCCCCTCCTCTCGGAATCTGGCGCGCACGTCGCCAGGGAGCTCCAAGCCACAGTTCTCGGCCTCGGATATCGGAGCGTCCTGGCGCAGAACGTACTATGTGAGCGACTCTCCTCTTCTGATGTGGTAATCAACGACGCCTTGTTGTGAGCTTCTCGTTCTGTATCGCCCGACCCCTCTCCGTTCAGTATCCCCACATGGCTTAGGAAGAGGTCCAGGCCCTTCTCCGTGTCGAGCGTGCTGCGAATTGTCCTGAACTTGCTCGGGATGTCCATCGGCAGGCCTTCCAACACTTTGGCGGCCTGCTGCTCTGGACGATACCCCGTGCGCTCTGACCGAGGTCTTGCCTGGCCAGAGCGGTGGTGCGCCAAAGCCGCTGCTTCGTCGAGACGGGTTCCATCCATCACCTAGCCATCCCCACGCTGACGAGGCCAGCCCTGTGAGCCCCAGGGCTCCCCTGACCGTGCCCACGACGACCACCCCCACGACTTCCTCCTCCTCCTCCTCCTCCTCCTCTTTCCTCCTCCTCCTCCTCCTCCTCCTCCTCCTCCTCCTCCTCCTCCGTCCTCCTCCCTCTCTCCTCCTCTCTCCTCCTCTCTCCTCCTCTCTCCTCCTCTTCCTCCTCTCTCCTCTCCTCCCTCTCCTCCCTCCTCCTCCTCCTCCTCTCCTCTCCTCCTCCTCCTCTGCTCCTCATCCTCCTCTCTCCTCCTCCTCCTCCTCCTCCTCCTCCTCCTCCTCCTCCTCCTCCTCCTCCTCCTCCCTCCTCCTCCTTTTCCTTCCCTCCCATCCTCCTCCTCTCTCCCCCTCTCTCCTCCTCTCTCCTCCTTCTTCATCACTATCCTCCTCCCCCTTTCCTCCTTCCTCTCCTCTCCCCTCCTCCTCACCTCCTCTCCTCCTCCTTCTCGCCTCCTCCCTCCCTCCCTCCTCCGCCTCCGCCTTCCGCCTCCGCCTCCTCCTCCTCACCCTCCTCCTCCTCCTCCTCCTCCTACTCCTCCTCCTCCTCCTCCTCCTGCTCCTCCTCCTCTATCCTCCTTCCTCCTCATCCTCCTCCTACCTCCTCCTCCGCTCCTTCCTCTCCTCTCTCCATCCTCCCCACCTCCTCCTCCTCCTCCCGCCTCCTTCCTCCTCCTCCTCCTCCTCCTCCTCCTCCTCCTCTCTCTCGACCCGTCGCCTCTCCCTCGCCAGCAACCGCCGCTCCGCGTACCAGCTGTATCGCAGGGTGGAGGGGCCGAGGACGCAGGATGCGAGCAGTGAGAGATACTCCAGATTTCGCAATAAAAGGGAGGGGGTCTGGACCCTCCAAGACAAGCCATTTCAGACCTCCCCCGTGGGAGAACCCTCCAAAAACATCGTCCCCAGACCCCCCAGGCCCTCCAAGATAGCCTGGAAGAGACACCCCCCCGAAATGAGACCCCCCTCCCTTTATTACGAAATCTGGAGTACGTTGCTGGGAACGCGGAGAGGGAGGCGGGCTCATGGCGCACACGAGCTCGTAAGCCAAGCCAGCGGCTATGGAAGGGCGGGCTGCGCACAGAGGGAAGAGAAGAAGGGGGGAGGGATCCAGGACCCAGTGGACCAACTGGGATCGGGGAGACCCATGTGCCCTCACACCGCGCAATCTGCTCCTTTGGTGCGACTCCGCGGATCTCGCCATTTCCCGCGGCACCTCCTGCGGCAGAGCCACCTCCTGCGGCAGCAAAGCCACCTCCCCCGGGCCACTTCCTGCGGCAGGGCCGTCGGGCCTTGGCCCTTCTGGCCTCGCGGGGCCTGGAGCCTGTGGAGGGCCTCTCGGGGTCTCGGCCCTCTTCGGGCCTCTTCGGGCCTCTCGGGGTCTTGGCCTCTCGAGGCCATCACCAGTCCAGGCGAGCCCTCGGAGCCCTCACCGTTCCGGCGGCTTCTCGCCGCAGTCCGGAGGGCACCGTCCCCACCGTAGGGGTCGTCATTTCTCCATGATGAACGCGCCACGGTTTCTCCGCAGTCTGCTGCTGGCCCCTGGCAGCGAGACGTGGGATGAGAGGGCACGCGACAATACCAGCGACGCGGGCTGGGCTCACGCGAGTCCTGGTTCTCCTCACCTCCTCTCCCCCCCTCCTCCTCCTCCTCCTCCTCCTCCTCCTCCTCCGACTCCGACTCCTCCTTCTCTTGCTCTTTGCTCTTGCCCTCTTTCTCCTCGTCACCGTCCTCCTCCCTATCCTCCCCCTCCTCCTTCTCCTCCTCCTCCTCCTCCTCCTCCTCCTCCTCACCCTTGCCTAACTCGCCGACCCGCCACAACTGGGGGAGCTGTCGTCGCTACCCCCAGGGGAGAACGCATCGCACCGACTATGTACTTTTCGAGAAGGGGGTGCCCACGCCGATCCCTCCCCACCCCCAACGCGCTCGGGAACACGGCTCCCCCAGCTGGCGTCGGGAAGCCCTTTGGAACCACGGCGGCTCCCCCGCCTGGCCGGAGACCCTTCCTGGGGTCCAGCCCCAGGGGACCAAAAAGTGGCATGAACATAAAGACTCGGAGGTCCGCGCGGATTTCTCTGATCGGCGCTGGACCCCCCTCCCTGGCGCGCGGAGCGCGCCAGGGGAGGCGCTGGAGGCGCCGCCGGGGAGCCCCAACGCCGATCCGAGAAATCCGCGCGGACCTCCGAGTTTTTATGCTCATGCCACTGTTTGGTCCCCTAAGCCCGACCCTTCTCTCGGGTCGGGCGAAAGGAGGGGATAGCAAACGTAGCTGATTCTCCCCGCGCCTCCCGGCGCCGGGAGGCGGCCGCGTATCGAGGAATGGGCCTGGCGGCGGGGCCGAAACCAGCTGCACGCAGCAGATTTTGTAGCCCCCCCTTTCCCAAACCGAGGAGGAGGAGGAGGAGGAAGAGGAGGAGGAGGAGGAGGAGGAGGAGGAGGAGGAGGGAGGAGATAGAGGGAGGGAGAAGGAGGAGGAGGAGGAGGAGGAGGAGGAGGAGGAGGAGGAGGAGGATTCTATCGGGGCCGACCCCGCCGTGGCGGCGGGAAGCCCCGCCCCGGAGGCCCGAGAAGGGCGAGAGGGCCGCCGGGGAGCGCCGCCGCCGTGCCCTCCTCCGAGGGCGGGTGCTCGCCCCCGCCCTTCGCCCTCGCCATGCTCCCCCTCCCCCTCCTCCTCCTCCCCCCCCCCCACTCCTCCTTCCTCCTCCTCCTCCTTCCTCCTCCCTCCTCCTCCTCCTCCCTCCTCCTCCCCTCCTCCTCCTCCTTTTCCTCCTCCTCCTCTCTCCTCCTCCTCCTCCTCCTCACTCTCCTCCTCCTCCTCCTCCTCCTCCTCCTCCTCCTCCTCCCCCTCCCCCTCCCCCTTCCCCTCCTCCTCCTCCTCCTCCTTCTTCTTCCCACAGCCCTGAGGACCAACGTCTGAGGTGTCCATACATGCATACGTCAGCGGTGAGATAGGCGGCAAGTATAGCGGGGGACGAGGAGAGCAGCAATGGCCAACATCAACCCGACTCGCAATACAGATCGAGCGGGGCATATAGATGGGCAACTGACGCCTCTAGCCATACATCCCCAGGAGGCGTGGGGGCACAGCGTTGTGAGGCTGCCTGCGTGATAACAGCAGCTACGTAGAACTCTACCTGGCTGCTGTCAGGAGGGGCCAGGATCGGCACGGCATTCATGCACAGGCACTGACGGTCCCCAATGGGCACACAGCTCGACGCGGTGGTCGGAGACGTTGCCTGCAGGGAGCACAGGAACCTGACCTCGGGGACCTTCCAAATACAGGGCAAGTTGGCTTGCGGAGCAGGTGGGTTTAAAATGAGCAAGGTCGCCAGGCCCGAGGACGCCGCACACGGCGCCAGCGTCAGTGCCGCCCGAAGGCACGCACTGTCGAGCTCCAGCTGCCTCCACTCCGAGGGCGACCTGGCTGAAATCCCCCAAGGCTCATCGCAGCTCCTTAAAGGCCTGCTTTCACCACCCTTGGCTTTGCAGCGGGGGGCGGGGTCCCACGAGGAAAGAAGAAAGTCCGCCAAGAGACCAACAACACGCCCAGCTAGAATAAGATCAGTAATGAACAACAGCTCCTTGTGAAATCCCTCGATGGAATTCTGGAAAAGCTCGAGAATATTTAGTGACAGAACAAAAACATTCATGCCCGCCATGGCACTGGACTTCTCCGCTCTATCCTGGATGTCGCCTTGACTCCTGGGAGCTGCACGGAGGATCATACTATACTTAGTGCCAGGGGCCGCGGGCAGGTGGACCGCCGCCCGAGTGGGCATCTCTTCCTGGGTACACACGGGTTGGCAAGATATTCTCGGCATGCTAGTGGGGAGGCCCTTGGAGGCAGCCGCCCCCCTCAGCCTAGGGCCTGTCGTGAGGACAGGCGCCAGCTGCGCTGACTCCGCATAGTGGCCTTTCTCTCGGAGCGCGCGTGCTAGCTCCGCGTCCTCCGCCTTAGCCATCATCACCTTTTCGGGGCTCAGCGGGGGGATGACGGACATGAGGTCCGCCAGGCATTTCGATGAGCCATGCCGAACGTGTGTGAGCAATCTGAGATGCGTGTGGAAGTTGAGACCGCATGCCATGCACACGGTGCCTGAAACGTAGCTGGGGGCGGGGTCTAGGTGGGGGTGGCACTTCGAGTGATGGGAGGCCCATGCGCCCTCGGTGGCCAACACCGCCCCACAATCCAGGCAAGGATACAAGGCAAGAGCCGACGGCGGACGCAAAAACGACGGGAGCGCAAGACCCTTGGCGATGCAACACCTCCGCCACCTGCCCTTGAAGTCTTCATGACGCTGATCGTCCAAAAATTTGGCCCTCGCAGCCGATTCCGCTTGCTTGCAGATTCGCTTCCAAAACTTGTTGCTGCTTGACCTCAGGAGCCACAACCACCACGCAGGGGGCCCCGACGGCAAGAATTCCCTGGCTAGATTCACTTGTCTGCTGAGCCACAACAGGCCATCGCAACACAATGCGGACCATGATTCGGGCACTGAAGCTAACTCGTCTAGGATCGCCAGCAGACAAGCAGGCGCCGATTTGAGAAGCCTGGGAAGAAATCGCAGCCTGCTGCGCCTCAACACCAGCCCAACGGGCATGATCCCGCACGTGACAAAGACTTTGTGGTCTGCAGCAGCCTTACCTGAACTAGAATCGTAGCCGAGACCAGCCGCCAATCTAAACGGGCTCAAATAATTGTGCGCCAGGGTCGCCATCTGTTTGACGTTTAACTTGTGCCACGTGAGGGCATTAAACAGAAGGTGCGACGTGCACAAAGAAGTAGCATGCATTAACCTGGCTCTTAAATTGACTTGCTTTCTGGGAAAACCCGTGCGCCTCAGCACCCCAAGAGGACGTCGCTGTTGGTGGCAACGGTGCGCCAGCTCGGGTCCCAGAGAAATTTGATGGTCCTGGTAACTTCCCAAGTGCTTGTAGGTTCTAGTGAGACACAGGGAGGCGCCTAAGGAAGGGACGAGAAGACCAGTGGCTGCCAAGGCCGCACACTCCCCTCGTGCCTTCCTGGAGCCTGTGCCGCTGAAGAAGGCCATGAGCTCCGTCTTGCCCGCCTTCCAGTTCATGGTGGACCCCCTAGACTTGGCTTCTTCGTACATAATCGTGACGAGGGCGATGGCCGCCTCCTTCCAGAGCCTAGCGTCTAACAGCTCGATGCCGTTGACGAGGTCATCCATGAAGGCGGGATCCCATGCATCTTCCTCTACATGTTCGTGCTCGCGACCTCTGAAAACCCTCTGAGGCGGGTCCACATCCCTAGTCTTCTGAAGATACCCCAGAGCTCCTAATCTACTGTTGGCCGCGATAATGATTGGGCCGAAGGCTATGATGAACAGGAGGTCTGCTAGTGGCATGCCTGGCCCCGTACCTAGGCGGGGGGAAACAACCCTGGTGCTGCCCCGTACATGGAACCAGTTGCATTCCATCACGTCGACCACTGCTTCCAGGAGGTGCTTATTTGCAAGTCCGTCCAGAGCGCCAGGCTTGGCGACTAGGGCATGGCATAGAGGCTCTAGACAACTTGGTATCTCCAAGTCCGCCAACGTGTTTTGGATGTCCTCGCTGTTCTGGGCCATTCTGGCAACGAGCCCTCGGATGACCGAATAGAATGCCGCGTTTAGATCAGTGTGCGACGACAGGTATGTGCACTTCCTAGCCTTGGCAGCCATCATGGCCGACCGAAGATGCAAGGATGCGATGTCAGTGCCACGCTGAGGGGGAGCTCCCTGCTGGACCACCGACAGCATGTGCATCGATGCATCTAGCAAATTACTTCTGAGGAAGGCATGGTGCAACTTCGCCGTGTGACATCCCAGCAAGATGCCTCTGTAGTGTTCCAGGGGTTCGGGGGGCCCAGATTTGTGTAGATCACATTGCCAACCTCCTTTGAACAGCAGGGGCTCCCTGGACGCCATGTCTACTTTCACGAACAACGGCAATAGGATCTGCGTGCATTCTTGTGGAGCGACCTGGAAAAGATCGTTGCTGAGTCCGTCAGGCCCAGCTCCTCTTCTCTTGGCTGCCTTCATGATGTCGTGCTTGAGCCTGCGAAAGGGGGTGATCATGTCCAACTCCCTGGGATATACATTACCCCGTTCGGGGAGGGCGTTGTATCTTTCCACCAGTTCTTCCCAGCTGAGTGTCTGCCCATTCTCAACAACAGCAAAATAGTCAGTGAGGGCCTCCGAGAGATCTCCAGATGAGGCCAAAACCTCGCTCTGAGGACCTCGTCGGATTCTCAGCCCCTCGACCTGAAACCTGGAACGTTTTCCCCCAAACCTTTGCAGCTGGTAAAGCACCTTCCATTCCACTCGACTCTCGTTTGAGGACCTGGCGTTGCTCAACTGCTGCGCGAGGTCGTCTAACAGCTTGTTGCGCGAGTGCTTCAAGGCCCTTCTCAGGGCCGGCTTCGACTTGACCAGAAACTCAAGCATGTGCGCAGCTAGCTCACTTGCCGCCAACATCTGAGTACCCCAATCGGCGAAAGCCTGGAAGAGCTCCGAAACCAAGAAGTCCAGCTCTAGATCGGCGATGTTCTGGGGGGGCCCCGCCTCAGGCGACGCGGCGACCAGCCTCCTGACACCGCCAGAGTCATGCTTACCCCAGAGACGCCACGCCTGCCGCACTTGCCTTCTGAAGATAATTACCCCTAGAAGATCCTCCGATACATGTGGCTTGATCGGGGTACGTGCGGGTTTAGGGAAGCATGTTTGTGCACCCACGTACATGTAGTGAATTATGCCGTGCAAGTGCTGATTCATGTCGACCTGGTGGGGCACCGTGGGAAAAGCTGCCAAGTGCATCCTGAAGGCTGCTGCCTTATCAGGATCCTGGGTGCCCAAAACGTCGTGGCCGCTCTGCCGTTGCGCTGCCTTGGTGGAGCCCTGGGACTCGAAGCGCATGAAGACAGGGTAATGATCCTTGCCAGTGCAGAAGGAATCAATATCATATCGGACTTGGTGTTGGTCCAATGCGGGAATCATACTCTGCTCAACCGCAATGTAATCTATTATGTGTGGTGTTTCAGACTTAGACGAGACGAACGTGTACGAGTCCTGGCTGAGGGAAGGGACTAGCGTGTTGGCGGCGGCCAAACCCGTCTCCAAGAGCATGTCGTGAAAAAGTCCGCCCGAATCGTCCTCGTCCTGCCTGAATCCCTGACTTCCCACTGCGTCGGACACGATGCTGCCGAGCCTGGCATTCGCGCCCAGGAAGGCCAGCTGGACTTTCCATTTGCGGCAGATCCCTATGAGGTCCCGCCACCACTGCTTCCTCTGCTGCGAAGTATATTCGTCTCCGTTGTGCAACGCATGGGCAACCAGGATGACCTTCCTAAAGAGTGGGGCACAACAGCCAACCACAAGGTGCCTCTGGGTAGCGTACAGCGGCCTAACATGTTTCTGTTCAAAGTACAGATCTTCGCCCCCGCGCCGCCCGTAGGGTAGGTGCAAGGAGATCCAGAGTTCCACGCCCAAGTTCTTGCCACCGTCAGATCCCGAAGAAAGCACAAAGTAGCCAGCAGAACACATTTCCCCCGACGGATTTCGCGCCTCTTGCACCCCGACGATGTGGCAATGCTCCTGAGCAAACTGCAATCTGAGAACCTCGCCCGACGTTTTGGCGCGTCTTGCCGCCGTGGCCTCCGCGTCCCTACCTGTCTTGGCGTTGAAGGTGGCAAGCCTCAAGCTGATGCTGAACTGACAGGACTTTGGGGCCGGCTTCTGCGAGGATTGGGATCCCACAGTATCTCTTAGCGTCTCCACCGTCACTTGAGGGCGCCCAGGATACCGAAAGGTGTTGCCGGGGCCTATTGGATAAGCTTCTCTTGTGGCCATAGGTGCCTCCTTAAGCCACCACCACTCGAGGTCATTCGTGTATCTGAGTGCCTCGCGCAAGGCCGGCGGGGGTGAGCGCCCAACCGCTCGGTCCGACCGTGCTAAACTGTCTGCCAACTCATTCCATGGATGCCCAGAGTGACCACATACATGCAAAAGCAAAGTGCCGTGCCTCCTGCGCGCACACTGATATACATGGTATGTAAGCCAGGCCAGGTGCAGGTTCTCCGACGGGACCTCCAAACCCAAGGATATGTTGACAGCCGACTGGTTATCGCAAAAAATGACCAGAGCTTGGGGGGAGTGCACCGTGTTCGGCCCAAAGAAACCCAATATCCAGAGCGACCTCCATAATATCCCCATGAGCTCGATAGTCGTGCTAGTGACATCGTCCCTTTCGAACTGCATTGCTGTGGATTCCCATGCGCTCATTCTTTGCCACCCGAGGAAGCTCACCGTGTCATCAGGCGAGATCGCGACAGCAGCGAAGGCCCAGGCTGAGTCCCTGAGCGTCTTTCTGTACGAGGCGTCGACATAGATATGTACTGGCCGTGCTCTATGTGCCCCGCGCGCAGAGATAGCCAGAGCAAACTTGGCAGTGTGATGTAAGGGGATGTCTCCAAAATCGTCATTGCAAAGCTCAAACCAGTTGATGTTCTGGAGTAAAACCTGATATATCCTGTCCGTCTCCTGAAAACCACAGTGCCCACTGCCATTGCTCTCAGGATTCTGGAAAAGTAAAGGGAACAGGTGCAGGGAAGTAGTATGCCCACCATCCTCCCTCAAGGCCAGCACACTCCCCCCTGCAACTGCTTCGAGCTGCTCCCTGGATGGGGCGGGGTGCGACGGCGGTGGAGGGGGGTCGGGCACAATCGCAACTGTAATTGACGTTTGATTGGCCTCGTGTCCTCGCTCCTCACGCACAGCATGCTGTAATTCGCGAGGACGAGGCAGGAAAATATGTTCCTTCGAGGTCTTGCCCCGCAAGCGATACTTCGTTCGGCCGTTGGACCGAATGGAAGATGACGATGAGTCCTCGGTGGCATCACCTGAAGTGGCTGCCGTGGAGGTGGCATTGCCTGACTGCGAATTCCCAAGACCACAACCCTTGGACGAGATATCCGAGACAGGGGCCGACCTAAGAATCGGCCTAGTGAAACAGGTCCGAGAAAGCGTGTCCCTGGCTTGTCGGACAATTATCGGTGCATGCGCCTCAAAGCGCCTCGCTTCGACTGGGCCCCACGAGACCCTGCTAGGCCTTACAAGTTGGACCCGTCTTCCAGCTCGTAACCCTGGCGCTGCATCTTCTTGGGGGGGGGGCCTGTTGGGCGAGTCTCCCATGTCCTTCTCTTTGTCCTCCTCCTCTAGCGGTCGGGTCCTCGAAGCCGCAGGAGGTGCATCCGCTGCTGCTGCCGCTGGCGCTGCCGTCGGTCCCGACGAGGCCGCTGCCTGCGTGTGAGATGCCGACGATGCTGCCGTTGAAGATGCTGCGGTCGACGATGCTGCTGCTGCCCATGGAGGGGGGAACAGCGCCGCGGGCGCTGGCTGCGGAGGGTCCACTGGCGATCCAGGCGACCTCTGCGCCGGCGCCGGCGGTGGTGTGGGGGAGCGCTGCGTCTGACTGGTCAAGTCGATGGAGGCCCCCTGGATGTGCTGCAAGATGTGCAGTGGCCCTGGGATCATTTCCTCCATCACCATTGGCTGCGTCGCGATCAGTAGCTCTGGATCGATCGGCATGACCTCCTCCTTGGGCTCGCTCCTCTGCAGCTCTGCTGTCACCCTGGACACGCCTTTTACCCTCGGTGTGTCTGGGACTGCCTTCTCCTCGGCCTGGGCCCTTGTCTCGGCTGAGACGCCAATGCTGGGGGCCCTGGCTGGCTTCGGCGATGCCGACTGTCTCTTCGGTGGCGGTGTCTTTACCACGGGGGATTCTGGCAAGTTCGCACTGCGCTGTGTAGGCGCCCTCGGCCCCGTGGCTGGCGCTGCACCAGGGGGGGCTGCGCCAAAATCTGGCGCTGTCGGGGCGGCGCCCCTCGGTGCGCGCTCTGGCGCCAACCCCTGAGGGTCAGGGGGGCTCGCACTGGGGATCGAAAGTTCCGAGATCACCGCCCGCTGTGCCTTCTGAATCGTCTGTGCGTCCATGAGCACATCACCTGCCGCTGCACCGATGCCAACTCCCAATACCCTGGCCAGGGCGAAGGCGTGGAAGTTCTGGCCTGTCTGCATCCTCGAGAGGTGCTCCTGGATGGCCTGCTGCTGGGCCTGTACGGCTTTCATCTGCTCCGTCATCGCAGTGATGGCCGCCGCCGTTGGGCCATCTTGCCCCTCAGTTCGCGGGCCTCTGTGCCAGGCGGTGCGCGGGCTAGCGGGCTCTGTAGCCGTCGGCGCCATTGCTGCTGTGGCTGGCTGGCTGCGCGCCGCCCCTGAAGCTGCCCTTGGGGCTGCCTTCTGGGGTGGCTGGTATGCCTGCATCTGCGCCAGGGGCTGGTTGGGTGTTGGTGGCGGCGGCGGCGGCACTCTGCTGGCTATTGCCTCCGCCGCGGCCTTGGCTGACTGAGCTTTTGCCTCTGCCTGTGCTGCCGCCCTCTCAGCCGCCGCTTGCACCCATGGCCTCTGGGCACTGCTGGCTGCCCTGAGACCATGTTCACTTCCTCCTGGCGGGGCCATCAACCAGTCCTCGTCATGATCTGGTGCGTCCTCCGCTTCTCGGGGCTGCTGGATGGAGTTCTGCAGCTTCTGCACCATCAGGCAGAGCGTCGCCTCCTCGTCTAACAGCTCTTCGACCTTAGCTCGTGTCTTGCCGAGCCTCTCTCTGGCGCTGATGAGCTGGGCCTTCAACTCATGCAACTGCTTCTCTGAGCCCTTGCAGGCGCTCATCATGTATTTGAGCACTCCGATGTCGAACTCCAGGGCGGGATCCTCCTTCCCTGCGTCGCGGACCGCGACGAGGAGATTGGCGAACTTCTGGAGCTTCGACTGGGCCTTTGACTTGTATATCTTCAGCTCGTCCGCCTCGGGCGGCGGCGGCTCCCACACCGTGATGTTGGCGATCGCCTCATCAGGTGCTGCAACTGGAATCTGCGCGATCAGCCCCCTAATGCTGGCGGACTTCTTCTGGTCCCTCTTTCTGCAGTCCACACGTTGCCACAAGAGCATGTCCACTGAGAGTTAGGATTCCTTGACTCGCACTGCCTGCATGTCCAAGTGCCTCCCCCCATCGTGCTATGATGCGACTCGAGGAGGCGCTTGGCCTGGAACACGCTGAGGAGAAGGCGAGCTCGCCCTCGCTGCGCCCGCTGCCTCTTGTGCCAGGCTGGCTCGGGGGAGCCCCTGCGGCGTCCCGAGCGCGCCGTGGGTCGCGCGCGCCTTCTGATGCTCAGCCGCAGGCCTGGCCGCGGGAGCTTTCACGAGGAAATATCGTGAGGGGGGCGCGGCGCCTGAGCCCTCTGCTCCGCCAAAATGGCCTGAGCCCCAATGGCTTCTCCTCCTCCTCCTCCTCCTCCCTCCTCCTCCTCCTCCTCCTCCTCCCTCCTCCTCCTCCTCCTCCTCCTCCTCCCCCCCCCCTCCTCCTCCTCCTCCTCCTCCTCCCTCCTCCTCCTCCTCCTCCTCCTCCTCCTCCTCCTCCTTCGTCCTCCTCCTCCTCCTCCTCCTCCTCCTCCTCCTCCTCCTCCGCCTCCTCCGCCTCCTCCGCCTCCTCCCCCTCCCCTTCCCCTGCTCACTTGCGCGACGAAAGCAGGCGGGCCTGGCGCGAGACGGCATGCCGTCCGAACGCCGCAGCTCACGCGGGCTGCCAGAGTGGCGCACCACACCGGAAAGCGAGGGCGCCTCCGCGCGACTTTTCGCGGGCAGCGTTCGTGCCAATGTCCGCGCCATTGGACTCGCTTCCTTACGTCGCCCGCCTGGCGACTCACTCTAGGGCCCCGCAAGCCGAGGCTCGCCGGCTTGTCTGCAGCGACCAAGGGCCACAGCGGTCAGCACTTCGGTGGGGAGCAGAGGGGATAGAAATGCGAAAGAGACTGCGGAAAAGCAAGGAGAAGAAAGCAATCCCCTCCCGATCTTCTAGCCAGGCCAGCCTCTCGACGTTGTCTGTTCGCAGATCACTCTCCAGCCAAGACGCAGCTGCTCGACGCGTCCGAAAGGGACGCCTCGCCAGAGAGAAAATCCAGCGACCTCTCCAGCGACTAACAGGAAGCATCTATACACAGGCTCAAGGGTGGGCGGGCTGGGTTGAGCCCAAAAACCCACGGAAGCGATTAGCATCGACGGCCTGACCTCTAGACCGATGGGGAAAGACATGCACGCAAAGGATATCCCCTCCCGATCTTCTAGCCAGGCCAGCCTCTCGACGTTGTCTGTTCGCAGATCACTCTCCAGCCAAGACGCAGCTGCTCGACGCGTCCGAAAGGGACGCCTCGCCAGAGAGAAAATCCAGCGACCTCAAAGCATCTAACTCCAAAAGATTCTCCTGGCCGTCAGGCCGTCATTCGCATCAAGGCACGGTGCACTGAACAGAGCCTAGACTCACGGTACGCCTTTGCAAGCAAACTGGACAATTTGGGCGGGTATGGTTCAGCAATCTTTGTCCAGAAGGCGCCAGACGGCGCCTTGCCCTCGAGGGCTTTGTGCGGCGCCAGCGAGAAAGAGCAACAGCCACGGCCACTGCACTTACAGCTACTCAGAGCGTCTAGGTTCACGTGCACATACATGACTCTGGTACGTTTTCTCCATTGCGTGCCAAAAGCACAGAAGTCAAAGTCGATCACCTTCACGTTGGTCTGCTTGGCGGCATGTACCGCCCACTTGGTCCGCCGCACCCACGAGGTGGCCGGGTTCTCGATTGCCGCTGGGACTCCACGCAGGGCGCACTCCAGAAAGAAGCTGAAGGAGAAGCACGCGAGCCTGTTCCCTAGCATCACTTTGAGCGAGTCGCCTGACGAGAGGCCAGGGAGTCCCAGCAAGTGTTGTCCATCACGCAACCGGGGGCCCGTTGGGCCTGTTCCGAGCCATGGACCAGGAACTGCAGGGCATACCCAGCCAGACACCCTGAAGCAGCTGCCCCCGAAGCCAGCCTCGAACAACACGTTGCACGCCTCGCCTGGAGAGGTCGGCCAGGCCGGGCTCGTGCTCCATGTCCAGCTCGAAAACACGTGGGGCCAGCCGAGAGGCCTGGCCTTGTCGCATGGCACGCGACCAGCTCCCAGAGCCACTGAAGATCTCCAGGTACACCTTCGACTTGGCGGTGTGGGCCCACGAGCTCAGATTCTGCATAGGGTGCTGCCAATAGTCACGGCGCAGCCGAGGGCCTGAGCTTGCTGCACTGGTCGTAGACGCTGGAGCTGCTCTTGGACACGGCCTCCCTTTGCATAGCGCTTGAGACTCCGATCGGACTCCCACCGTCCCCTTTTCTTGATGTCCCCGAACTCCCGAGCGTTGGTTAGCATCTCGTGGCTGGCACCGCCATGGCGCAGCTGGTACAGCACCGGGGGGCCCAGGGTCTCCAGGTCCAGGGCGGCGGACGCGAGGCTGAACGCTCGGGTCCATGACTTCATGCTCAACGCGAACAGCGGCTGCTCCGGGTGTCGGCCCAGCACCAGTCGGTCCAGCACCTGCTCCATCCAGCCGAACTCGGGGTTGTCCAGCAGCAGGCTGATGTCGTAATCCTTTGTCTTCGACCTCGCCTCGAGCTCGGCCGGGAACAGGAGGATGGAGTACTTGCTCAGGTGCCGGGGCCCGCACTTCACCGGCCGCACGACCGAGATCACGCGCAGGGACAGCAGCTCGGATGGGCGCAGGTAGAGGATGAAGGCCAGCACAGACGCCGTCGCCGCCACCTCGCACCCGTTCGTCACCATCCAGTCCGCCATCCACGCCACCACCGGCCAAGGCAAGGGCAGGCGAGCCCGGGGGGGCGCCATGGACTTCCAACCCTTCAGTGCCCGCTGCACGCGCGGCATGTTGATCAACTTTGGCAGCAGGTCCAACCGGAAGTGGGTCACGGCAGCCGCCAGCTTCGACCCGTCCGGCGAGTCGTGGCCCTCGAAGTACAACTCGTTGAAGTACTCCAGGAGCGTCTCCTCCAGCTCTGGGATGGTGGACACTGGAAGCCTCGCAGCCGCGGCCCAGGTCAGGAAACGGTGGTATCGGGCCTGGTAGTCCAGCGTCGTCCTGTTGCCCACCGCCTTCTGCTCCAGGAACGACCGCTGTCCGGGCCCCCGCCAGTGGACGCCCTCTGGATGCCTGGCCCGCCGCCGCTTCGCTCGGGCGGTCCGCTCCAGTGGCTCCGCTGCCAGGTCCAGCCCCAGTGTCGAAGCCGCCGCCGAGGAAGAGGTCCGCCCCGTCGGGGTCCCAGCTCGCCTCTTGCTCGAGGCCAGGCGGGGGCCCGAAGGTAGGCTGCCTCGCGCCAGGAGGCCGCCTGACGTCGGAGTCGGCGCCGTGGCTACCACCACCGACGCTGGGGCAGCAGGTATCTGTTGCCGACGAAGCATAGCCCACGCCTGGCAGGTTCCTGGAGGCGCGGTCCGCGGAGTTCCGCTCGGAAGGTGCCCAGCGCCAAAAGAAGGCAGTGCCGCTAGCCAGCGAAAGGGCCGCCAGCTGCCGGCAGATGCGCCCCATCTCTGGGCGCGAAGACCGCCCCTTGGTGGCAGCCAGGATCGTTCCCAGACAATCGCCCAAGCACAGATGGCACCGGTTGAAGGATGAGAGACGCCGAAGGATATGCCGAACAGCCACCACCATCCCGCGACCTTCGAGAACGACTTGAGGTTCCGAACGACACCATCTGTGCGACACGACCGGGTACCACCCCTCCGCCCAGACGCCCTCAGGGATCTCCGGGAACTCCTCATTCTCCACCTGGGTCACCTCCTCCACCTCGAACGCGGAGCCTGACACAACGAACTCCCCATCCTCCTCCAAGTCCGTGATCACCTCCTGGAAGCCCCCTGGGTCCTCGAAGGTTGCGATCGACTCGGGCACGAAGGGGTCTCCAGAGCTCTGAGCCTTCAGGGCGAGGGACCGATGTGAGACGCCACCCTCCTGAGTCTTGCTGAATCTCCACCTCTCGTTGTACCGTGATAACTCCAGCGCAACAGCTGACGACGATGTTTTCTGAGTGACCCCCACGCCCCACCACGATGCGTCGACCATCGTGAGCCTGCTGTCAAACGCGGCTCCCGCGTCTCGGAAGCAGAACACGACCAGACTGGCGCACCAGCGGAGCTCGCGCAGGCAAGAGGGCCACAGCCGAGCAGTTCGCCCTCCATACTGGGCAGAAAAAGCGTACAGCGAGTTGAGACAGGACAGAAGCTCGCGCCGGATCAGCGCCCTCGATGTAAAGTGTGAGACCACACGTGAGACCGTCTTGCCCGAAGCAAAGCCCTTCCGGCACAGCTCCAGGCAGGCCAGCCGTAGCTTCCACCGCAGCGCCGGGTTCAGCCCGATGATCGGGAACTTCTCGTCGAACTGCCAGCCCAGCGCGGCAGCGCCGAAACTGCACTCGACCCCGTGGGCGGGTAGGCCAGCCGCTCGGAGCTTAGAGTCGACCGCAGCGGCAGCCGCAGACGCCACCGACGGGTCGGTCGAGAGGCTCAGCGCGTTGTCCACGTACTCGGTGTGGATCACGTCGCTGGTCACGCCCGGCACAGGCCGCCTGTCTACGAAGCGGTTGGCCACGGTCAGCTGGGGCACCTGCAGCGCGGTCGCCTCCAGCATCGTCTGGCAGATCCAGAGGCTGAAGGAGCAACCCATCGGCGGGCACCGGAAGCAGGGATAGACCACGTCCGTCCCGCTGAGAGGGCGCCCGTCCGAGGTGCGGTCAAGCCCCAGCAGGCCCGCGCGGCAGCTCGGCAGCGCAAAGTACCGTCGGAACTCCGGCGGCAGCAGCATCGTGTAGAAGGCGTCGGCCAGGTCCACCTCGGCCACGGCGATGGGCTTCCCGCTGTCCACGTGAAGGCCAGCGAAGCTCGCGCCAGACGCGAGGGCCACCTTGTCCGGGGCCCGGAAGTGCAGGGACGCATGCCTGCCGTCCAGGATGAGCCGCAGCTTCCCCGACTTCTTGTATACGAAGAACACACCCACGCTGCACGCCTTGTCACTGTAGTAGTCGATGAGGTTCCGGCGCTCCAGGATCCGCAGCAGCTGGATGTACAGCTTGGGGTTCCTGAGCGCCGGGTCGATGTAGAGCTTCCGAGGACCGTCGGACTCGATCCGAGCCCGACCCTCGGACTGGGACAGCATCATATCATGAAGCCGTTCAACTATCTTGCGGCCAGCTCCTCCCCCCAGCGTGTCCAGCGCCACCGGCGTGAAACCCTCATCTGGGAGCGAGAGGCTGTTGATGTTATCAAAGCTGAACGGAGCGACCGTGGCACTCTCGCCGGCGTAGTCGCTGAGAACTCGAAGCTCCTCAAGGGCTCCTGAGCCAGTCAATCCCTCCGGGGGCTTACCGAACCGTCGGACAGCATCTCGAACGTTGTCCAAGGCCCGCTGCTGACCCGCAGAGACAGGCTGCGAGTGGTCGCCGTGGCGACAGGGCTGGCCGACGTACAGCTCGTTGAGGGCATTCACCACCTCGCTCACCATGGCATCGGCATGACCCCGGCGAAGACCACGACGGGCCACAGAACGTGTGCAAGCGAAGCTGTTCGCCTCTGAACGGACCTGATGCTGTTGATCAGGACGTGGCAGTGGAAATAGATCACGTTGGCGCCCACAAGGCATGCCCTTGAAGTGCTCATCACCAGCGAATGGCGGGCCACCACCGCTGGGCCCCCCTCCAGAAACGCGCGGACCGCCGGGGGGAAGCGGCCCGCGTGGTAGTACGCCCGTCATTTTCGCAAGGCCCGCTGTTCCTCGCGGGCCTTGCGTACTTGCTTCAACACCGAAGCGTCCCTCTCCACCTCCTTCGCCACGTGCTCCAAGAGCAAGGGACAGATCATGCTCTCCCCGTGGTCTCGGCTGAGACCGGTGAAGACAGCGCTCTCGTCGATGAAACCGAAACTCAGCAACCTGTGACTGCCGCTCCCCCGACCACGACCCTTCTTGCCAGTCTTCTTGTTCTCGCCGGCCTCGCCGCCGTCCCCGACGCCGTGGCCACCGTGGTGGGGGTCCCGGTCCATCACGTAGACGTACTCGTACATCTGACACTTCCGAAGGATCTGCTCGGCGCCCGCGATGTTCGGCAGGTCGAGGCCGTCCCAGCACGCCATCGTGTAGATCGCGCGCATCCCGGCCTCGTAGTCATTCACGCCGTAGTCGTCGGCCGCCAGCCCGAGGGTCGCCTTCCAGAACCTGAAGTGGTCCAGCGGCCCTCCCTGCCGACGGTCGATGAACTTGCAGCACCACAAGCAAGTCCGCGGACCAGGGATGTGCCAGTCCACGAAGGCCTCCTCGGTGAAGCTGGCGACGGCGTCGCGCCACTGCCGCAGCAGCCTCCCGCCTGGGACCGCAGGGTTCGGCAGGATCCCCATCAGACGGGCATCCGACGCGGCCTCTCGCCCAGCGTACTCCTGGGCCGATCCTGAGATCGAGCGGATCGTCACCCAGGAGCCGTCGGCCAGCGGCATGAGCCCGACGGACCCTCGCAGCACCGAGCCAGCGGGCGGGGCCACGGCAGTCCCGCGCGCGCCAGCCGTCGTCGACTCGACCAGCACCCACATGGCGGCGGCGGCCACGCCTGCCCCCGCAGGAGCGGCAGCTCCGCCAGCAGCACCTGCGCCAGCTCCACCCGCTCCTCCGACGGCAGCACCAGGTACCCCTCCAGCGGCGACCAGAGCAGCAGCCTGCGCCCCTGGGGCCACCACCGCCGCCACATCACCTGCCTCCGCCGGGGCGGCAGGGCCGCCCTGACCGAAGGTCAGTGGGATGAGGAAAGGCCCCGCCGGCGCTCCCAGTCCAAGACGATGGTGGTCGGCCGCCAGCGCCGCCCTGCAGTAGTCCACGGCCGCCTGGTCGATCTGCTGCTGCTCTTGCAGCGTCAAGTCCCGCCTGAAGCGGTGTGAGTTCGCACCTCGAATCCCTGGCGGGAAGGACGCCCGCGTGCCGGCGTAGCGCACGGCAATGATGTCGCTGCCGTCGCACGCGTAGTCCTCCTCGTAGATGTCGGTGTCCACGGTGCAGATCAGCACGACGTGCGGCGACACGACCTCAGCTGGAACTCTCGCCCGACGCCCCAAGATCAACCGCTGGTGCCACAATGGCTCGCCGTCGTAGCGAACCCAAGCCCATTGCTGCATCTCCGGCGCTGCCGCCACTGCTGGGGCCACGATCGCCCCCGCCATCATGACGACGCTTGCAGGTCAGCCACGCGCCGCCCCACCAGACGTACACGTACCAGGCAATGAGGCCCAGGAACAGCAGCTCGTTCACCAGCACCACCAGCCAGAAGGAGGACGCCGCGATGTCGGCCCCGGCCTCCTGCTCTGCCGGCGGCGCCGGGTTGGCAGGCGCCGGCCGTCCTCCCGGGCACGCCGGGCAGCCTGGGCACGGCGGGCAGGCCGCACACCCAGGGAACCCCGGACACGCCGGGATCGTGATCGAAGGGCAGCGCTGCAAATTGCCGCCCCAGAGATATGCAAGAGCCCCCTGCCACGCGTATTGGGCTGCGGGCCAGAGGAAATCCATTCGCACTGCCTGGATGCGAATTCCTTGAGCCCAAAAACCCACGGAAGCGATTAGCATCGACGGCCTGACCTCTAGACCGATGGGGAAAGACATGCACGCAAAGGATAGGAGAAGGATGAGGATGATGATAATGATGATGATGATGATGATGATGATGATGATGATGATAATAATGATGATGATGATGAGGAGGAGGAGGAGGAGGAGGAGGAGTACCAGTGTAAACCCAAGACTCACCAACGATGTTGGAACAAGTGGCACGCGTGCCCTGGCTCTTGCACGTTGGAGGAGAAAGGGGGAGGGGAAGGTGGGGGGCCGCTTGGGGCGCAATGTAGAGGCGCGCGGTCATCTGTCCCAGGGAGGTTCAAGGGAAGAGGCCAGGCGAGGAGTGGAACTCCTTTTCCAAGGCACTGCGCAGCAAGCAGTGCTTCAAGGATAGTTAGCCAATACCTGCGCCAACACAGTTGCGGAAGGGACGTACTAGGGAAGTGAGCGGACTTCACACACACACACACATGGGGGAGGGGAGAAGCGAGGGGTGGCGAGGAGGAGCAGCAGCAGCAGCATCGGCGAGGACGGCGGAAGAGGAGCAGGAGGCGGAAGAGGGGCAGGGGCCGGATCAGCGCCCAGCCCATGGCAAAGCCCACGAGTTGCGCGGATACGATTTGCTCTGATGGGGATGGCGCCCCGCGAGGGGCGCCTGGCGGCCGGCGGGCCCTGCGGCGACGATCGCACTCGCGCTATGGCGGATGGCCGGCCAGCAACCCTCACGCGCCAGGCAGTGCGAGAGGCCTGTGGGCTGGGCACCGGGCGCGGGATAGGGGAGTCCACCTCATTCACCTCCTCCTCTCTCCTCCTCCCCCTCCTCCCTCCTCCTCCCTCCTCTTCTTCCTCTTCTTCCCTCCTCCCCTTCCATCCTCCCTCCTCCTCCCTCCTCCCTCGTCCTCATCCTCGTCCTCTTCCAACTCATCTTCCCTCCTCCCTCCTCCTCCCTCCTCCCTCCTACTCCTCTTCCTGTTCCTCCTCCTCCTCCTCGTCCTCCTCCTCCTCCTGCTCCTGATCCTGCTCCTGTTCCTCCTCCTCCTCCTCCTCCCTCGTCTTCCTCCTCCTCGTCCCTCCTCCCTTCTCCTCCTCATCTTCATCCTCATTTTCCTCCTCATCTTCCTCCTCCTCCTCCTCCTCCTCCTTCTCCTCCTCATCGTCGCAAGGAGTGACAAGGCAGGGGCCAGGTCGGAGCGGGGCAGGAGCACGAGCCACAGCACGGCCGAGGCGCCAGAGTCCGACGGGACGCGGAAGCGGGGCAAACTGTGTGTGGGGGGGACGCACGACGAAGAGAGGACCTCCTCCTCCTCCCTCCTCCTCCTCCTCCTCTCCTCCCTCCTCCTCCCTCCTCCTCCCTCCTCTCCTCCTCCTCCTCCTCCTCCTCCTCCTCCTCCTCCTCCTCCTCCTCCTCTTCAGGATGCCTCAATGGTGCTGCCAACACACCCTCCCGGCCCGGGCCCCCGCCAGGCCAGTGGCCAGAGGTGCTCCTGTCCCACTGCGGGGAGCACCCGCCCTGACAGGCGAGCGCCTCGCTCGCCATCGCTCGGACGTCCATTCCCTGTGTTTTTTGTTCGGTTTCGTGCGTGGCTTGTTCGCTAAATGATCGAGGATGCTCCTCGATGGCCCTCGCCGAAGGAAAAATGCACACGTCCGAGCGATGCCAAGCCCGTGGCCCGTGGTCCTGCCATTCAGGCGAGAGCCCTCGTTGAGAAGCATCCGCCTTGCATCCAGAAGAGGTGCAGAGGGACAGGGTCAGGCGTGAGGTCTACAGACATGCCCAGGGAGATCTCTGATCGGGAGAGACGGATCTGCCTTCCGTCCGTTCGTTCTTGGAGGAAGTGGATGCGCGACTGCCAAACTTCACGCGACTCGGCCTCAACGGCGGTGTGAATCACAAGGTCGCCAGGCAAACTGGGAACCTCACACGAGCCGACTTGCGATAGGCGAACTCATGCAGTGAACCTTGGCCTTCAAAAGCGAACGTGCCGCATGCGAATCTATCCCGAGGCCCAGGCGGCCAACGATACAGATCTGCCCTCCGTCCGTGTGAGTGTTGCACAAATTCAAAGCTCTTGACGTAAGTATCGAAGACATTTCCAAAGAGGGCCCCACATAACGGAACCGCCCTCCATTCGTCTAGCTCTTGCGCAATTCAGAACATCGGGTCGCAAGACGACTCAAGACGGCCCAAGACGGCTCCAGCCCAGGAAAGCCCAAAGTCGCCCCCAGGGGGCTCCAAGAGGACCCCCAAGACGCCCCCCAGAGGGAAATGCCAAGACTTGTCCTTACGTGTTTGAACGATCTGAGCGTTCTCGCCTAGTCTGCTTCCGACCGCCCAAGACGGTTTGAGAGGCTTCAAATTTAGACCCAGGACGGCCAAATTGGTCACCAAGTCATTCGAATATATCGTAGTCGCAACGCCACTACTTTCATTCTACATACTGTTTGTACCGTTCTAATGTTTCCGTAGTAGTACCAGTAGTAGTGATAGTAGTAGTAGTAGTAGGAGTAGTCGTAGTAGTCGTAGTAGTAGTAGTAGTAGTAGTAGTAGTAGTAGTAGTAGTAGTAGTAGTAGTAGTAGTAGTAGTAGTAGTAGTAGTAGTAGTAGTAGTAGTAGTAGTAGTAGTAGTAGTAGTAGTAGTAGTAGTAGTAGTAGTAGTAGTAGTAGTAGTAGTAGTTAGTAGTAGTAGTAGTAGTAGTAGTAGTAGTAGTAGTAGTAGTAGTAGTAGTAGTAGTAGTATCAGTAGTAGTCAGTAGTAGTAGTAGTAGTAGTAGTAGTAGTCGTAGTAGTAGTAGTAGTAGTAGTACCAGTAGTCGTAGTCGTAGTAGTAGTAGTAGTAGTCGTAGTAGTAGTAGTAGTAGTAGTAGTAGTAGTAGTAGTAGTAGTCGTAGTCGTAGTCGTAGTCGTAGCAGCAAAA